CAAGATTAATTGAATGAGCAAATAAATATTTTCACCGCAAATCCACCTATATATTTTTTTCTATTTTTTTGTTTGTTTTCACGCCAGAATACAAGAAGCAGCGACGTCTGAATTACGAAAATACGAGCTATCCCGCCGACGGATAAAAAATACGGAAAATCTTATTTTCTGTGCGTGAAATCGGAGAAAACAGCAAATGTAAGTAAAAATGCGGAAGGGTTAGCAGCTAGGACGTAGTTTGAATTTTCAGTTTATCTTTGAAAATCGTAAATAAATATAATTATTTTACTTCAATGACTGAATTTTTAAAAAAAAGCGAGATATTTATTAAAAAAACGAAACTTTTAGAGAATCGGAGTTTTTGATAAAAAGGTTGAAATTCGAGAGACAAAAAGAATCTCATCCCTGTATAAAGATCAACCAGTTTTATCCCAAGGAAATGATTTTTAGATAAACTTCAGAGGGTGGAATAAAGACTTCAGTAATTTCGCTCCGTGGAAAATTAAATTCCTCATAAAATATTTTAACTTGTGCAAAAAAAAATTTCAGCGGAAATCAGCGGGAAAAATCTGAAGAAAAAAAAGCGGAAATCCGCGGAAGAATCTCATCCCTGACACGAACAAACTACATTTTTAATTAGCTCGGTTGTCGTAATCCAAGCTCAAAAGCAGTCAGTCAAGGTTACATATATATGTACTGCGCCAAGCGTAAAATAAACAAGAAAAAATAACGAACAATACGAACGAACTGCCAAAGAATGACCAAGAATGCAAAAAAATGAATAATTGCCCTAAAAGAGGCCAGTTGATGATTATCTCCACTTCGTTCTACATTGCTGCTTTCACCTCCTTGGTCAGTGCACTAGTGAGAGGGAAGAAGGAAACATCCTGAAAGCTCATTTTACTTCAATTGTGATTTGAAACGTCTTTCCTGCAAACAATGAAGCAGGGGGAAATCTTTATTTCCTTTTTTCTCTACTCTTTCTTCTCCTAAGCATTCCCTTCTACCTCAACACAAGTGGTTGATAGATCATTTAAAAGACAGGACGAGATGATTAACCATTTTTCTTTCTTGGAAAAGGGAATGTAGATTCTTCCCACAAAATCAAATTTTTTTAAAACATTTTTGTTTTAGACTACAAGAAGGTGAGAAATATTTTAAAGAAGGAAATTATCTCTTAGTACAAGAGAATATAATATTGGAAGTACTAAAATATCGGAAAAATTGCAAGTAAATAAAATGCTGGAAGAGTAGCTCAAAAAAGCAAAATCCCGGAAGAGTGGTCTTAAATCCACAAAATCCGGGATAACCCCAGAACACAATCATCCCCGGCTAGATATTCTGAGGAGTTGTTGTGCAACAACCCTCATGAAAAATAAATGTTTTAAAATCTTTCACAGTAGCATTTTTCCTTAATACAAATTTTTCTTCTTCACCATTATTTTGATGGTTTACTACATAATACAACCTACATAGCCAATTTGTTAAAAATATCCCTTCTGAGCAGTGTATAATATTGAATAACAGTTATGACTCATTTTTAACGAAAGAAAGCTAATACACAGAGAAAAAAGCTTAAACACAAAAGTTAAAAGCGAGTTGATAAGTAAAGCGAAACTGAAACTAATGAGAATGCAGTCTTCTCTGAAATTACAAAATTAAAATGTGCAGTTTGTCGAATTGAATAAACTCAATATGTTGGGACAGTCAGTGAACACATATTTGTTACATTTAACACAATGATTATAGATCATTTTGATTGCTAGATTATTAAATTATTTTATACAGTAAATTAATAGCATTGTATATACCAGTAATGTATTTACCAGTACATTAATTCAATTTGATTCTTAGTGGCTCAGACTAAAAAACAATGAAATATACATGATTTTCACTATATTCTGTTCAGTGAGAACTGATAGCAAAAGTAAACAAAATAACCTGACACTTAGCTATACTTTTGGCTGATTTGCACCAATTATGGCATACAGTACTAATCAAACTATTGGTCAATGCAAAAAGAATTTCACAGAGAAACTGGCCAAAGTAGATAATCTGAGCAAAAAACAGCAAAACCCTTTATGTTTATTTCTCGTATCAGTTTTCCTTGAACAAAGCAAAGAATTTGCTGAGTAAATTTTCAAGTATACATTGTTGGAAAGAATTAGCAATAATGGTGTTATACAGCACTTTTATGAACATAACTGTTATTAGTTTTCACTAGCCTGAGCTTAGAATTTGCCAGCCAAGGAAAAAAAATGCCATTGAAGAGTAAACTATATAATATATATTATAAACTAAGTTGAATGTTATTTTATCTGAAACTAGAATGATCTATGCGAGGAACTGATATTTATAAATAGGGGATAACTTCCATAACTTGTTCTATAGCATAGAGGACACATGTTCATGCCAGCAACAATCTCTAAAGAAATTTACAAAATATATAGTAACTTCTTACAAAACTTTTTAAAAAATATATAGTTGCAAGTCAGGGTTGGTATAGCAGAAAAATAATGGTTTATTTTAAAATAAGCAATAGATAAAATTTCTCCCCCAAACACAAAATGTTCTGCACAGGCTTTTGATTGTTCCGAGAAGTATGTTGAAGCTTTGAGCACTGCATGCTACAGGTTCTAAAAGCAAAATTTAAACTTAAGTCCTTTAGTTTAGGGGTGATGAATGTATTTAAATTTGAACTTATTGTATACTTTTTTGGAAACTTAAGAGGTAAAAAAAAAGAAGAAATATAGTTCTAAAGAAAAAAATATATAGTTTTTTTAAAAAGCAATTAAATTTTAAAAAAATATATCAAAAGTTAGAATAATAAAAAGATAAAATAATCTCTTTTTTTAATTTTATTGCTACAATCCTCTTTAAGACACAAAAATGTATACATTTTCAGGAATTTAATTTGAAGAAAAAAAATTAAAAAGGCTAAATAACAACATACTATATTAAACACATGGGTGAAATGATCAGAAGTTTGAAAATTCCTAAAATGCAAATTTGTTAAAAAATAAGTAAAAAAAAAAACTTAAATTTTTTTATAAATACAGAAAACAAGACATACTTAAACAGAAATGTTGAAATCAACTTTGTCTCCTTTAATAATTTATCCCAGCAGGCTAAACTTCAGCAAATTCCTTGCAAGTACCTTGACGGGCTCTGCTTTAATACTAGAAGGAGAGGAAAAACTATTTTTAGAAAGTTGATTATAAGAAAAAGTGAAGTAAAATTCAAACATTTTAAGACTTACTCTTTTCCTAGGTTAAAATATTATTATGACCTGAACACAAAAGAATTAAATAAAAAGACGTACACAACAAAATTAAAACAAGAAATAATTTGAATACTAAATTATTTTTCAATTGTCTTGACAAAGATGGAATCATTTCATTGATTTTATTCACATTCTAACGTGAATTTTTTAAAAAAATTAAAAAAAACTTACAGAACTAGAATCTTAACATTTAATAAACATTTTAGTTGATTATAACAACACAATAAATACCTTTCACTCAAAAGTCAAAATTTAATGTTATCAATAACAATTCAGAAGATCACAGAATGTCAACTACTATAAAATTTAATGATTTTTAATACAATCTGTTAAATACCAATTAACTACAATAAAATAATAATTATTGCATGTTATTTTAACATTATCACTGTAAAATATTCCTTTTTAAAATATTTGTCATTTAAATAAATACAGTACGGAGTCCCATATCCGGACGCCTGTTTTCCGGAAGGGTCTTTTTTCCGATCACTTTTTAACAATCAAAATAAATGAAACTTTTTTTTTTAACATTTGCAACCTGTTAAAATATAGTATGCAGGGATCAGAATCCTGGGCTTTATTATGATTTTCACCAGACTTTAGATTTTTGTTCGCTTTTAATCTAATTTCCCCTATAATTTGAAAAAAAAAAAAAACATTGGAAATCATGTAAACGAAATTCCGCATTTAAATACAGAGTGAAAAAAAATTGTGTATTATTCTATTTTTAGCTTTTTTACACATACTATTCCATTTTGGAAATAAAAAATTAGCAAAGTAGAGTAAATCATCTTCAGTCGAAAGTCAACCATATAGAAAAATCCAGTGGAACTGAAACACACAGTACAACGTTACGACTTTTCAGTACTTTTTGGCAAACCAAAGGGCCATCTGAATTTTAGTTTGAATATTATATAATTATATTTTATATTTATGCCAGGTGTAATATAATGGCAAATGAAGTAAAAAAAATATATACTTAACGCAATAGTAAGTGCAATTAACATTTCAGTGGAAAAAAAATACAAACACTATAGAAATCAAATGAATCACTACTCGGGAAGGCAGAACTGAAAATATCAAACCCAGTTTGATTGCAAGAAAAAACAGAAAGGACGTGGGCTGCAGTTATTATAAACACCTCCAAATTTCATCAAATGAAATTAGAAATAATAGAGTCAAAATCAGAGTTTAAGTTTTGCATTTTTCGAAAGATGCTAACTCTGCCCTTTTTATTGTTTTTATTGTTAGTACCAATGCACCCTTCTCTTTTTTTTCATAACAACCATCCGACCAGCGCTATGTTTCAAAATAATTTTTACCAAAATTTCGGCATATTGAATGTAAATTATTACAATAGTGTAAATCAAAAACCAAAATGCAAAAACAACTGATTTTAAAAAGTCTATAAAATTGTTTGCAACTGCTAAAGTATGAAAAACAAAATAGATTTTAATGTTTATGCCAACATGTTTGAAAGTCAAAGCATTTTCTTCAATAAAAAATTACCTGCAATAAATATTAATTCTAGAATACTTGAAGTGATATTCACATTAGTTAAACTAATGGTCTTCTTTTTTAACTTTGAATACATTAAGTGTAATGTACCCAGTTCGCATATCTCCCAAATCAACATTTAGGATTGATATAGATTTTATAATTCTCCGATGTAAATATTCTTATTTAAAAGAAAAAAGCATTTCTCAACAGCAATATGAGTTCATAATTTTTTTTTTTTTAAAGTATCGTTCAGGACACAAAAACTTCTTTCGCTCGCACTACTTAAACAATGGACTAATCGTTAACATAGTTTCTCAAAGCGATTGAATTTAATTGGTTTCTAAATGACATAACTATCTGAGATTTCAAGTAAAAAGAATTTGTAAAAAGATCATTTTTATTTGAAAAGTAATAGAAAAAAGTTTTTCAAAAATAAAAAATCTTGCTGAACTCAAGTTTTATTCTAGCATAAAGATTTGCAAATCAGCAAATTAGTTTAAAAATTGAACAACCTTTATTTGATTTTCATGCAAGCATTAAAATTAGTTTTTAATGAATAATTATGTTAAACAAGCTACCACTTTTATATAACTACATGGTAAAATTCTATAAATTTACATATTCTAATTATTAGTATTAGTAAATGAGTAATATTATTAAGTGAACAATTACTTTAAATTAATTACTTTTAAATGACTGCATAGAAAAATTTCATAAATTTATCTACTTAAATTGTTATTTGTTCAAATTTCATTAAACAAAATAAGCAAATCAAGATATATTTAAAAAAAGTACACGTTAAATATAATAATAAACCATTTTGAAAATAAATAAAACTGGTTTGAAGTTTTAAAAATATGATATTTTTTTCTATAAATGAGGAAAAACATATGATATGCAAAAGCTGACTTTCTTCAGACATCTCATGGAATCAAACCAACTAACCTGGGTGGTAATTCCCAGTCCTGTGACAGTGGTAACAACTTAACCTTTTTGTGTTATATAAGAAGGATTAAAAAAACTTAACGAGGAATGCATATCCATGGTAAATTTGTTTTAATTTAGTCAATATTTTTGAAGTTGGGATACGTATTTTCAGTCACAAACGATTCTCTTATAAATGACACAATAAATTATAAAGGAACTTTTGAGTTAATTATACGCGAACTATTAAGGAAACTAAATTGTATGCGTTCTAAATTAAATTTCTCAAAAAAGGTTAAAAAAAAATTTCTGCAATGTAAACAAAAATTGAAAATAACAGAAAGAACTAAACTAGCAGGTATGAAAGTTCAGTAAAAAATTTCTATATCAGTTAACTTTTTAACAGTTTTATTCATTGCATTGTGTTTTCTTTTCTTAAATGTTTTTAGATACCTGAAAATTATAATTGCTGAAACGAAATCCACAAGACTAAGTTATTCTTGTTTACATAAGAGAATTCAAATTTCGAATTTCTAAGCAAACAACAAGCGGGTAAAAGTTAATCTTTAATCAGTTAAAAAAATCTTCTAATTTGAGTGTACTGTAAGAAATGTCTTGGCAGCCGAAATTCTATTACATTAACCCTGCAAATCCGTGGTGCGATAGAATGCGAAATTGGGGGGCACAAAGGCTATTCTCACGCCAAGTTTTGTCCTACAAGTTTGTTCTTCTTGCACAGTAAATAATTGTTTTTTTTTTTTAATGTTTTTTTAATTTATTTCAATACTGTGTTTAGTGGACTACTTCTTATCCAATTAGATGCAAAGTTAAGGATTTTCTTTATTAATTGTATTGTTTCAATTTGTGTTTTTTGTCTTGATATATTTATATAAGATAATTTACTTAATCAATCTTGTCTTTCAATGATGAAAAGACCTGACCTCATTAGGCTTCATATGGCATATTGTTTACATTAAAAATTAATAGAGATTAATTGTGTTCATTGAATTCACCATATTTATTGATTTCACAATGCAGAAGGCGTGTGACTTACAAGCGTTTCATTAATGTAAGGGGCTGAAAGTGTGATAGGTGTATCCTGAGTTAATGTGTTAATAAATCTTGAATTCCTGATCACTTTACTTCCTCATTAACTTATAGTGAATAAATATATAATTAATATAAATAATAATAATTGTAGCATTTGAAGTAAATCAAAATAATAAAAGCTTTTTTAACATATTAAATTGCATAAGAAAAGTAGTATTTATCATTTGACATGTCATATTTCCTCTATTATTATATTTATTCTACATGCATTGTGCTTTGTTTGTAACATTGGATTTTAAATTGAATTATTTATTGACGTAGATTTACTTCATAGAAAGCTTGACAAACGTAATTATTCATAACTGATATATTTATAGAAAATCCGTTATGAGGTTAATGCGATTTTGTGTAACTATCCTTTAATATATTGTTATCTGCATCTATTTGCCCAGATCACACTTTAGGGGGGAAAAAATTTAAAAAGTTATTCTAAACTGGAAAAAGGAACTTTTTAATATCTGGCTGAGTAAAAAGTTTTCCCCCCCAAAAAAACAATCCTGTAAAATGATAAATTCATAGAAAATCAGCAAAGCTAATGAGGATAATAATCTCCATTCAAATCAACAATAGTCAGCCAACGTTTTGGCAACTTTTCAATCCCTTCTGCGAAGAACTGGGGGGTAAGCGAGTCCAGAAAGCAATCAACCTCATTTACGACCTCGTCATTTGAACGGAAGATTGTGCCATCAAGATGCAGCTGCAGATGTGAAAACAGATGGTAATCCGAAGGCGCCATGTCTGGGCGTATGGTGGATGTTGCATCAAATCCCACTCCAGCGTGTAGAGGGTCCAGCCTTTCATTGCACTGACATGTGGCCGGGCGTTATTTTGATGAAAGAGAACCTCCTTCCTTCTGAACTCGTTTTTTCGTTTTTCGCGAATGGCATCGCTAACTTTGATTAGCATATTGCTGTATATTGTACTGTTGATAGCCTGCCCGCTTTTCAGGTACTCATTGTAGATAATTCCGCGACAATCCCACCAGATACAGAGAAGGACCTTCTTGTTAGTTAGCGTTCGTCTTGCAACCGAACCTGCTGATTCCCCGGGTGCTGACCACCCTCCTTTACGGCTAGTATTGTTGTAGTATACCCATTTTTCATCACAGGTCACAATTCTGTCCAGAATGTTATCTTTTCTTTGATCTCTGAACAGAACTAAACAGGCCGCTTTTCTTTTTCGCTTGTCTTCAGCAGTCAATTCGTGAGGCACCCAGTGGTTAAACTTAAATCTTAGATTCATGCGTTTGAGGGTACTTACTATTGTTTTTTGGCAAACGTCAAGTTCTAACGCAATGGTTCGTGTTGAAACATTTCTGTCTTGATCAATAATTTGCTTTAACTGGTCACAATCAACCTCAATAGGGCGGCCAGAACGTGGTTCATTTTCAATGTTGAAATTCCCACTATTAAACTTTCGAAACCAAACTTTTACTGTATTATACGAACAGTATTGAAACCTAAACTTTCGCACATTTTCTTGTGGCATTAAGTTGCACTGAGTTTATTTCGGAACTCATAGTACATAATTGTTCTGATATGCTTAAGTGATAGCTCCATTTTAAACACTTTTATGGTGCATAAGATGATCAAGTTTTGACAAACAAATTACACAGTTGTGTAGTTCCAACTTTCAGCTTTAAAATGCAAAAGCCCGTTTCTGAAAAGGTTAACTACCACGGGAATGGCTGCTGCCGGCACGGAGGAATCTCGCCTTGGCGGAAAACTTTTCACTCAACCCGATATATATATATATAAATAAAACTGGTTTGAAGTTTTA